CAAAATGAGCCAACTACAAACTAATCTCCAAATTTACCAGTGAACAAGCAGATTACGTTTTCGGCAATAAAAAAAGGCTAAAATCTAGCATTTTCAGTCCTGTCGGATACTGCATATTAAACATGCATTTCTAATATACCAACAGAATATAAAAAATCAAAGAACCCACAAAACGCAAATCTTTGCACAATAAGTAAACTTAGTAGGCAAAATGTCTGTTACATCTGTAAAACTAAAATTCAAGATCACTCGGCTAAAAGCAGGCAATATAGTTTACCACTGCACAGGTACGCTAAATCCTTGAGCATCATAACAATGGCTAAAGTCAAAAATCTTACATACATTATTACAAAGAAAGTCGTGAACATGGAAGTAAAAAGAAAGAATGTGGGAGGGAGTTTGAGAAAACTGATTGCAAAATCAAAACACATAGATCATAGAAATAATGCGATGAAACCTCATCGTCGTTTGATAATCCTACCTTTTTGTTTGTGAGATGAAAACCGCCCACCGACTCAACTTGTGTTTGCTAATAAAAAGCCACGAACTTGTCATGGCAAGAAGGCTAATCATCTGATCTGCAATGGCGAACAGAGTAAACCAGAAGTATCAGCGCCTACCTCAGCAAGGTCACAAACTGTACAAAGTTCTCCCTGTTGTGATGGAACAAAATGTGTACTGCAGTAAGGGCAAGTCACATCTCTCTGACCCCGGTATATTGGGGTGTATGTGGAGCCACATATCACAAAAGGATTTCTGAAGTCATAATTTAGTGGTGTAACATCTCTCATATTCTTCTCAGCCGCCTGCAGAACTTGACGGGCTTTCTTGGCCTGGGTTTCGGCAGTTGGATTGGTCTCCAGAAGTTCCCTGGCAAAATGGGCCGCAGTACTCAGGTTTTGTGCTTTAAAGCAAACAGACATGGCATTCAGCAGTGCAAGTCTCCGGTGAGGAAGTTGGAGCTTGCAATGGGTAAAATAAGCTGCCAATTCCTGCTGACGAGCTGGATTGTCAGTCAATTCCTTCCTCTTAAGTTCCATCTGTAAACCCAGAACATATTCCTTCACGATGATAATCAACTCTTTAACTTCATCCACCTCTCTTCGTGTCTCAACCACAATAAATGGAATTGTCTGAAGAATAGCCAAGAAATGTCGAAGGGCTTCAGAAAATTTTCCAGAAGTAGTCGACTTGTAGCCAGCCGAAAGCTTCTCTTCCAACTGAGAGAAATTGAACACGAGTGCAGGTGGTCCCCGCACATTTGGACTTGCTGACTCGCTCCAACCCCTCTCAACTGCTAAAGATATCACTGGGGACAGGGACAAGGCACGTAGATAGGCGTGACTGCCCATGTGAAGATCCATAAACAGTGGTCTCAAAGGAGAGAAGTTCTTAATCCCTAATTGACGGTTCAATAAACGCATTGCTGTGTCATAGTTTCCAGCCGCTGCGTGTTCAGCAGCAAGAGACGATTTTTGGACCCAAATCTGGCTTACAGGCATCCCAGGGTTAGGAGCGATAAATACAGAAGAACGTGCATTTGGAGCCGTCTTTGGGGTGTCAGTATCCGGAGGGAGATCCAGATCCTCAAGATCCCACCCACCCTCCTCAGTTTCTATGTTCACGTCCTCTTCCTCCAGAACCGTACTAATATCTCCATTTTGCATGTTTTCCACTTCACCAATATCCAAAGCCTCGCCCCAAT